ACATTAAATTCCAGTGAAATATATTTATGTTTGTGGTTGTAATGTGACAAAATATGGAAAAGTTCAAGGGGTATGAATACTTTTGCAAACCACTATAATTGTTGTCTCATGAGTGTTTGTGACAGAGTCTATATTAGTATGTGAGAGAAAATTGTTTTAGGTCCTATACGGCATCCCGTAAAGCAACATTTAACAGTCCACCCACCAGTGGACGAGAGGAAACACCACCCCGGTTTGCCAATCTAGTGGCATTGCCTCCAATATCCATGCAAAGTTAAGGTGTTTTAAATAAGACAGCCCCACAACATCCAGAGCCTCAATTAAATTACCAGTGGTGGACAAAGTACTCAACTCTAGTACTTGAGTAAAAGTATTGAAACTCAGGGTCAAATCTACTCAAATACAAGTAAACGTTACTCTGTGCAAAGTTTCCTAGAAATGTAGTGGAGTCAAAAGTACAATATTTGTCTTTCAAATGTAGCAGTGAAAGTCACAAGTACCCCAAAAAATAATTACTCAAGTAAAGTAAAGATACACAAAATATACTTAAGTACAGTACTCAAGTAAATGTACTCCACTACTGTCCACCACTGGAAATCAGGGCTGGATCTCATCCACCCCCGAAGCCCTGCCACCGTGGAGCTTTTTAACCACCTTGGCAACCTCAGCCCCAGTTAATTTATATGTTTAACAAAATACATAAAAGGAGCCTATAGACATAAATCTGAGTTTTACTTTTTTCCTCAAAATATAATAAATCTGGTTTTTAATTTGATTTGCTTAAAATGTACACATCATTTGAACATTCCTGCAGGTATTTGTGCCACAATTGTAATTACTTTCTGCTAAAACCCTTTCAACACAAGATTGTTCTTTTCCCTCCCAGGGTGGAGTTGGTCTCAACGGCCCAAAAGGAGAACAGGTATTTTTTTAAAAACAAGTTGTCATATTGCAGTTATTTTCACAATGTATTAGAAAAATCGTAAAGTGATGAATTTGATCTGTTTAAAGGTTTAAAATCTTTTACTTTAGGGATCTCCAGGCACTGAAGGAACACCAGGAGAAAAAGGAGACACTGTGAGTAAACTCATCTAAAACATCTGCTTCTAACTGTTGTCTTCCAAACAAAAAACAGACCAGTCAGTGAGCAAACCACAGAAGTAATAAGTAATCCTTCAAGAGTAAGAGAAAGCTTTTGCTTTCCTATTTACAACTTTTCAAAAGTTATAAAGTGTACATGTCCTTTTGGAGAATACTACAACAATAATTATAAACACTTCTAATGCTGGCGACAGTGCACGCTGCGCAAGTACCCAAAGCGCAAACCGAGCTTATGCCACAGGAGTGCGCCGCAGCATGCGCAGGCTGAGTCTATGAGATTTACTGTTTGAGTCTTTCTGATTAAACCATACTGACTAACAGACATACATTTGTTTGTCCCATATTAAAGTAAAAATGAATCTCTTTTTAACATTTACTCCCCATCATCGCCAGGATATTATAATGTGATTGTGCTAAGCGTGTATATATTTAGAGACAGAAAACAGAAAACAGAAAACTGACGTTCTGTTCTCTGATTGGCCCGGCTAAGGAGCAGTGAAGGGAACTAGGATTGAGCGGAGCTGAGTAAGAAGTAAAGGGCCAGGCTACTAAAACACTAAAGTGACATAAATGTAAACTACAGAAAAGCTGGTCAAAATCAATCTCTTCCTTACAAATATCTTTGGTTCAAATGATTCAGGTTAAATTATTTGTATAATGCTTCATTGGTAAAAAAAAAAAAACAAACACTATGTATATACAGTATATTAGGAGTATAAAGTACTTGTGTGTGGTGGTAGGGTGAGTGGTTAGGAAAATATTTCAGTCAAAATGGTTTTTTTGCTTTAACCCGTGGATCAGCTCCCTGCAGACATGAACTGATTGTTTTGTGTTTCAGGGTGATAAAGGAGAACCAGGAGAGAAAGGATCGGTATGTGCTCCTATCATTCTGTATTCACAGGAAGTCTGTTCTGTTGTCAGCTTTTGTGTATTGATGTCTAAACTGTGACTTCATTAGAAAGTGATCAGCTGCAGTTTGTCTAAAAGTTCACTGAGGATTTTTTTTAAGGCAACTCTGCTTGATCAAGATTGTTTAAAAAATATTAGACATTTGAGAAGAATAAATGATTTTATGTTCTGTGCTGCAGTCAGGTCCACCAGGAGAAATAGGAAACAAAGGACCAGCAGGAGGCAGAGGACAACCAGGCAAAGAGGGCAAGCCTGGTCAGCCAGGACCACGAGGCATGCAGGGAGACAGGGGGGTGCCAGGTCTGCCAGGACCCCAGGGACCATCGGTGAGGAGCTGAGGCTGTCGTTTCTACAGAATCAACTGAATACATGTTTGGTAGCTCAGCCTGTTTCCTGTTTCTGACACAGAGTGTCTCTGCTCTTTACATTCACAAGACAAATAACTAACTTCAGTCAAATGACAAATAAATTAAATGAAATTATTTATAGGCAACAAATATAATAATAAAAACAAGTTATTTTACAACAGAAGAAGAAAAAGAAAAACATACTTCTAATAAAAGTTACCTTAAAGTAAAGATGGTGATTTTCCCTCAGGATATTTCTATCAGTATCAGAACACAACGTATTTACTGCAGAGGGCTTTTCTTCTTTTACCCCTTCTCCATAAACATCAGAAAAACTGAAATAAGTTGACATGATTGACTGTCTATAAGCCATACATCTATTCACCATACATCTATTCACCATACATCTATTCACCATACATCTATACACATACATCTATACACATACATCTATACACCATACATCTATACACATACTTCTATACACCATACATCTATACACCATACATCTATACACCATACATCTATACACCATACTTCTATTCACCATACATCTATACAACATACATCTATACACCATACACCTATACACCATACATCTATACACCATACATCTATACACC